TTCACTCAGCCGCGAGGCTAGGGAGGCCCCCCCCCCACACACACACACACCAGTGGAGTCCCACAGGGGTCATTCCTTGGACCTATACTGTTTCTGATATATGTGAATGATCTCCCAGAGGGAATAGACTCTTTCCTCTCAATGTTTGCTGATGATGCAAAAATTATGAGGAGGATTAAAACGAAGGAAGATTGTATGAGGCTACAAGATGACCTTGATAAACTGAATGAATGATCCAACAAATGGCTACTAAAGTTCAACCCGAGCAAATGTAAAGTAATGAAACTAGGCAGTGGAAACACCAGGCCAGAAACAAGATACCGAATGGGAGATGAAGGCCTCCATGAAACGGACAGAGAGAGAGATCTAGGAGTTGATATCACACCAAACCTGTCTCCTGAAGCCCACATAAAAAGAATAACATCGGAGGCGTATGCGAGACTGGCTAACATCAGAACTGCCTTCAGGAACCTGTGTAAGGAATCATTCAGAACCTTGTATACCACATATGTAAGACCAATCCTGGAGTATGCGGCCCCAGCATGGAGCCCGTACCTTGTCAAGCACAAGACGAAGCTGGAAAAAGTTCAAAGGTATGCCACTAGGCTAGTCCCAGAACTAAGAGGCATGAGTTACGAGGAAAGGCTGCATAAAATGAACCTAATGTCGCTGGAAGATAGGAGAGCTCGGGAAGACATGATCACTACCTACAAAATTCTAAGAGGAATCGACAGGGGTAGATAAAGATAAATTGTTTAACACGGGTGGTACGCGAACAAGGGGACACAGGTGGAAACTGAGTACCCAAATGAGCCACAGGGACGTTAGAAAGAACTTTTTCAGTATCAGAGTAGTTAACAGGTGGAATGCATTAGGCAGTGATGTGGTGGAGGCTGACTCCATACACAGTTTCAAATGTAGATATGATAGAGCCCAGTAGGCTCAGGAACCTGTACATCAGTTGATTGATGGTTGAGAGGCGGGACCAAAGAGCCAAAGTTTAACCCCCGCAAGCACAACTAGGTGAGTACACCCACCCAATGAGTCAGTCACACAGTTACTCGTCCTACTCCACACCCACCCAACAGGGCGGCAGCTTTACAGTCATGTACATGCATTACCTACAGTCAGCAAACTTTGCCTACTTCGCTAAGATTCCTGGCAGTACATCATTATGAATGAAATACTGTACTTACACATTTCTTTCATTCCACTAATGGTGTTATCTCTGAATTCCGTGATATTTTCGCATTTCGTTATATAGTGCCGCAAAGTATGCGAACAGTTCTGCTGACAGAGTTTAGTCAAGTCTACGTCAGCAGATGTTGTAAACTGCCAGAGGTACTTGTAGCCGAGTCTAAGCCTAGCAGTGGTAACATCTAGAAGTCTGCTAACCTTATTGGATGATCCATAGACGTGAGGTTCTTCCTGCATAATAGAATGATGATAGATGAAGCAACTGGTGTGAATTTCACTTTGCCTCACGTGTATTAGATTTAGTTGATGTCCCCGAAATGTTGCTGCCCTCAGCCTGCTCAAAGGCAGTCCAAGATGGTAATCAATTCCTTCTGTACAAGCACATGTTTTATAGTAACTCGTCACACATGCCAGGATGCAACCCGTATAGCAGCTGTCTTACTCCTAAGTACCTATTTACTGCTAGGTGAGCAGGCGCATCAGGTGAAATAATTTTTTGGACATTTGTTTCTACTTTGACCGGGAATAGAACCCGGGGCCTTAGGATTACAACCCCAGACCGCTGTCCACTCGGCTGCGTGTGTGTGTGTGTTCTCACCTATTTGTGCCTGCAGGATCGAGCATTGACTCTTGAATCCCGCCTTTCTAGCCACTGGCTGTTTATAGCAATGACTAATGTCCTATTTCCATATCATATATAGTTTTAAACTGTGTGTAAACTGTAACTGTTTAAACTGTGTGTGTGTGTGTGCGCGCGCGCGTACGTGCACGTTCGCACTCGCCTAAAATATGCATTTGCGCGCGCGCGAAAATGCATATTATAGTTACTGCAGCATTGCTTAATGTCAACTGACTATCAGACACGAAGAAAAATATATTTCTAGAATTACGCTTCGAGAAAATTCATGTTAGGAAAGCCTCGGTAGCTTTTTTTGTTTTGTTTTTGTTTAGTAGGAAATGTTGGGTTGGGGTGACGGGGTGACGGGGAGGGCTGGCCGTGCCCACTCTGCATTCACATCGCGCCTCAATGTTTTTGTTATATGCAAGCTACGTTAGGAAATTAAGGAATTAGTTGTACTGATGCAATGTATAGAATTGACTCATATATTGTATTTCCGTCACAGACAGTTTATATGTCAGCATTAGTTTGGTGGTGGGGGGAGATTGAAAGTATTAATCCAGCAAGGATCTTAATTAAGCCTGATCAGTAGGCTCAATGGATCGGTCAGGATGCATTAAAAAATTACTCAAGCACTTTTTCAATCTGAGTGATTTCAGAAGCACACCGAGGCTGTTTGTATCAACAATAACTCCCGGAGTCATTAAGTTTCGAAGCTCATAAACTGCTTCAGTAAATGTAAACACGCTGGCATGATTAGGGATAGATGTACAGGTTTCACAAGTGGTTGCGTAACAGCTTGATAAACCCTGGCCACGTTCCAAGGGTATATTTCTCTGCTCGTCTCCCTACACACACACACAGTCCTGTTGGGTAATTGGCAGCAGATTATATAGCCTTTCGGGAACTGAAAACTTCATCATTTGCCCGAAACGCTGTGTGTATTAGTGGGTTTAGGCATTGTATGTACTAGCTAGCTCTATAAATCCAACATTATGTTTGTAACTCATCTTCAATGTATGTACTTTTACCTGAATAAACATTTGAATTTGAATTTGAATCATACGGAGGTCCTCCACTTGTCTTGGCCTCGGTACAGCGAGGCCAGGGGTGGGTTACAGTAATGGTAAGGTGGGTGGAGAGTGAGCTTATAACACTCACCTCTTGCGAGCAACAGTTTATTCGGGGACACGGCATGCACAGGCAGCTGCATGGAGACCGCCAATGAAAATTCAGCAAGGCACATGGGACCGCACAGGATAACCGTACTTTTTATCATTTTCTCTTTGGCTTGTCTCTGCAATTTCCATTACATCACACCTATATTCTACTCAGGTATTGATTTAACTTATTTATTGACAATTATGCGTCTCTCAATTACTTTCTACGATCAACTTTTTCTATAATACGACATAAACAAGGCGTTGGGTACCTGCTGTGAGGCCATCACATTTCTAATGGAGACCTCTTGGCAGAGTTATAATCGTTCCTTACGCTCGGAGATTGTACTATAGTATACTATACTATATACTATAGTATAGTATATACTATATAGTATATTATATACTATAGTGTAGTAAGTAGCGCACCGTGCCATCTGGCCGTGGGCAGCAACATGCAATACTAGCTTCGAGGTCATACACTGGTAATGATTATTCTGATTGATGACACTTATACACGACCATTTTACTTATATGCGCATTGTATTATACTGTGCACCTTGCTAAGTAAAAATATATTCTTGCCTCGTCAGTGAGTTCTTAGTGACAAATATGGCTTTATCCACGGAACTATAGGCTATAGAGGTAGATTTATAGCCATTTTCAGAATAAGGTTGTTGCGAATGGTTTCCTGTTAATTAATTCTCATAATTTTAGTCTTACTGAATCATCTAATATTTAGTCACCATTGTTCAGAGAATGGTCACTTTACTGCGTGTATATTGTTTATATGTTAATTTAATATAAGTGTACTCATGATCACTCGACGGCATCATCAGGCTATAGTTGCCAGCGGTTCATTTATTTTGGTTTTGGGCTTTCTAGGCCTATCAACGGAGGGAGGGTCATAATACACCACCACCAAAGCTTGCTGGCTAACCACCTAGACCTTGACATAGTTCAATACTAAAGTAATCGGAGTGTATATTCATGGAGAAGAGGCCGGAATACACCGCTGGGTGTATATATTCCGCGGCTCGAGGTTGCCAGGGTGGCCTAGCTGACGTCCGCCAGGCCTGCCACAAGTCGCTGGCTCTCAAGACTACACCAGTATATTCTCAACCTTCAATATTATTATACCACCCACATATGCCATTGTCAATTAAGTTATGTCCCTAATTCACAACAGTTTTTTTAAATGTTAAATTGTTACTTACAACCGAGTCCTTATATTGTTCTGCAATTTTATAGGTATTTTTCAACGTTAAAAGTCAATAATAAAGAGGCACATTCATTCTATAGCTTCAAGCGTTTTTCTGAAAGTGTTTTTAATGTTTTCCTTTATCAGTTGTCTAAATGTTAATAGATTAAGCCTTATATTAAATAAATATCAAGACGAGTGTATTAATGTTCGTCTTTGCTGAGTTTCCCCTTGATTCCCACATACTGCCTTTAAAATTGAGTTATAAAGGCAGATGAAGCTATCATTCACAAAGATTAACACTATGGCGTTATCATGCTAATTTAAACAATCATAATAACAACTTCATGACATTATATTTGCCTCCACAGTCGTGGAGACCTGCATATACTCGTCCAGCTATTTTCTTGTAAACTTATTCCAGAAGATATAGCAGCAGTTGACACCTGGCTAATTCAAATTACTGATCAATTTATTGTAATTTTCATCTAATAGTATTTTGCATTATTTTGTCGTTAAATAATTATTTTGTTGAAAATAAGGTTTGGTTGGGCAAGGAAAACGGCTAAATACCAATGCTACGGCTGGATCGCGAACTCCACCCGTGTCAACCCGCACTTCTAAATACCGGAACCATGTGTTGAAGAAATTTAGAAACTTACATCCCCTGGTGACCACTGTTTTGCATGCGTAATTTTATAACTTGATATATTAATCAAGGAATTTTATAGACTCGACGGTTATTTGGCAGTAGCGATTAATACAGAGTACTGTATTTCTTCACGTGATGGGTTGGGAGATTCTATGAGGTTATTGGAACGGCTCATCCGGGTCTTTCTCCAGTCTGTAATGTAACATGGCGGGTGTTTGCCTGAAGTGATTATTACTCGAAACAAGTGCTTTTTATCCATACAGATGGTGATTTTAAGACTTTGGCATGCTTGTTAATGCCAAGAAAATAATCTAGTTGTGAAAGATGCAGAATGTAGTACAGGGACCTGTCGCCGACAGCGAGAAAGAGAGCTCAATACTGGAGGGTGCGAAGTCTGACTCGACCGCCACCTTGAGACCAGCTACCCCGGATAAATGCCAAACGTATGCGGACCTTCAAGATAAATTTTTCACAGTATCGGGCGAATCAGATAGCGAAGAGGGTGACGAATCGGAGGTACGTACTTTGGAGTTTGGCTTGAGGTGGAAATTTGGGTTTAAAGGGGCTTTGTTTGGTCAAAATGATGTAAAATTGTACGCAACGGAGTTGTGGGAGCGCGGACGATTTTCAACCGTATTGACAAACAATACAGCAGGCTCTGGTCTGTTAACCCAGTTGTACTCGCCCTCCTGCTGCCCTTGCCACCCTTGCTCGCCACGCTTCCACATCTGTTTTAGCACCGCGTAAGGCAGGAAATTCGCCAAAATGTCGGAGTAGAGGGGAAGAAATAGGTGTTTGAGGTGGAGGGGTGTGGGTGATGGTGGAGTGTGTGTGTGTGTGTGGCGCACCGTGATGACCCGAGCACCTCCCGCTTCTCTTAACCCACCCATCTCTCTCTCTCTCTCTCACACACACTCGTTCACGTCTCCTTTTCTCCCTCCTGTCTCATTCTTCCATCATTTCCTGCCCCCGGTGGAGGCGGCCGTCGATATCCGCCCCCGCGGGAATCGATATTTGTACGCCGCCGAGTCTGGCTTTGGGAAATAAGGCGAGTGATGGCTACCACCATGGCCGTGGGGCCGTGGCTGGCTCCGCTGGGGACATATTGTAGGCCTCTAGCGGCTCACCGCAGGCACGGCACGGGCCAGCCACGGCCCTGGTGTTATCTTGGGAGGCGACACACTAGGCTCGATGATTGGTTTTGATTTAATGCCTGGATGTGTGGCGTAAGGGGGGGGGAGGGGGTGGGGATATTGGCTTGGGTAATGGGCATCCTGTCGTTGGTATCGCTTTTATGGGGAAGCTGTTTTGCATTTGAATATATTGGAGGGGAGGAAATGATCAAACCTGTTTTTGTTTAACTGGTTAAATTAACTGGTTAAATAGATTTGGGTCAGTTATGTTGGGTAATTTTTTGCTTTCTTTAATTAGTGGAAACTTAGTTCTATGGGTTTTATTTGTTTGGGGGGATACATTTTTAATCAAATTACCTGACCCAAGCAGGGCATCCTGTATTGGCTTGAAGATATCGACTATATTGAGATCTTGTGTTTATATGGAACTTAGTAGTATGATGTTAAAGGAAATTTTAGAAGTTAAAGAATACATTGGAACTTGTGTAGCTTAGATCAAAGTTTTATTTATGGTTTTAAATAAATAGTACTTTATGGTACCAAGTTTTGATGTATAGTCTATTTGATACTGTAACCTGTGGCTTAACATACTGTAGTCTTGTTGACATTGTTATTAATATACTGTAATGTTTATACTTTTATAGTGGCATTTTTACGTGCAATATGCTATTGTGGTTTAACAACTTATATTTTGCACTTTATTCTCCTATACAAAAGTATCTTGTGTAATTTTCCTTTTTAAGTGACACTTAATGATTCATACTCTTATGAAAAAAAAAACACTTTAGATAACACTTGTCATAGTTATAACAGTTTCACCTTCTAGTTACTCAATTACAAACAGATGCTATTACGTGGTGCTTGACCAATGGGCGAGAGTCTTGATTTTTGGGCTGTTGAAAGATATTGAGACAAGGTACTATCCTTGGGGAGAATGCCATTATTCCCATCATGGTAATGGCACACCTACTAAGGTACTAGAGGCACAGTGTCATTATTTGAGGTTGTGTAAATACCAGTTTTTTCCCCAAATGGCACATGTGTCCATTATAGTAATTTGCATAATGGTAACCTTTTGTCATTGGGCTAGTTTAAATGAATTGGTTTTTCTTATTGTATAGGCCTAATAATTTAAAGATTTTAAATATTTTACTCCATAATGTGAGCAAGACTGCATTTGTTTGAATAGTATACTAGTGTGAATGAACAAAGGGTTGAGCTACTGTATTCCTTGTTCTTCATTGGTCCCTGGTGTTATAAAGGACTAGATGTTTTCCAGTTAGTACCCATAACACTGACTAATGTCTCGAGCCTTTCTTTTTTATATTTTCTGGCATTCATATAAATTGCTATTGAATTGTACGTTATCTTGGCCTATTGTATCACTAACTAACAACTACCATCTTATTTATTCTTAAACATGGTCTTAAATATCAAAACTTGTTGCCTAACTTCCAACTCTGACTGCTAAATGGTCATCCAATTTGCAAAATAGCTCATTTATTCTAATAAATTGACAATATCTAGCAGTGTAACACTTTAGCTAATAGTGTCCAGTTTAAAATATCTTACTTAACTAAATGCCCAACCTCATTACCCAACCTATCAAAAAATAATATGGAGGTTTTTATATTGTGTACCTGTACTCTTAAAATAAACTTTTGAAGACTACATTAATGTACAGTACTTGCTGACTTACTGATAGCCCTTCTCTAATTAGTTTGGAATTATTTAGTGTGGTTGGCTCTTAACACTTTCGCACTCTCGGCGAAGGTCACTCAGCCAACCGTATGTGCGCGCGGCGTTTTTATCGCTTAAGCGTAAAAACAAAAATGTGTATACTCTCTTTACTTTTCTGACCTTAGTTTTCATGCTACGTATTTCATTTTGGTACCAACGTGTTCGCAATAAAATTCTCTAGAAGAACATCAGTAAAAAAAGTCACGAAAGCTATAGAGATACCAGCATGAAATAAATAACTACGAAGATGAGTCGCCGTGAGCGCTCAACAGCAACAAAATGTTTTTACTCTTGGGATTATTATCACCTCTACAATTGTCCTACAGCCTTAATTTTGGTATCAATGGACTCCCAATAAAATTCCCAACACGGTGATATGAATATAATCGTAGAATAATGGTCCCGGCCCACCCGCAAGAGTGTGGGAAGTGGGCGCACTGTTACCCGGTAACGGTGACCGGACGACACACGCGCGAAACGTTGCTTTGAAAGTTTATACTTATTTCACTGTTCTGATATTATTATTGTATGTATGTCATTCATTTTTGTGGCAATGTTTTCGCAATAGAATGTTCTATGAGCTAAATTATACTACACAAACTTGGACCAAATAGGTGTACTTACCAAGGGAAGGCTGGTTGTGGAACAGTAAGTTGAGCATTTGTTCTTCGCTCCACTTCTTCAGGTTCTTCATTCCTGAAGTTGCTCAACAGATGGTTTGTAGGTGGAGTGAAGCTGTTGCGGGTGGTTACTTCTTCACCACCCAATACACCTGTTTCTGGTGGTAATTGGTGTAGCAGGGAACAACACAGAGTGCAACACCACAGGTCTTGCATCCATAGTTCGTGTCCTTCCTTTTACCGGACCGTGCGCATGCATGACACTTGAGACGTTTGGGCAGTCTGTAAATTTCATGTTTCAGTTTGTAGTTCATGCGATTTTCTGAATCAACAATAGGGCGGCCAGGTCCTCTCGCTGGAGGTGTAACAGGAGTTGCAGGAGAGTCAGATTCATCTGACAAAACAGTTTCGTCAACTGGCAGTGTGGCAGACATGTCGGGTTCAGATTCGTTGTCTGCTTCATCTTGAGGTGGTGTAGTGAACAAAGGCCGCCTCACACCAGATGGTCCGGGAGTTGGCATGGCGTCAGCATTGGCAGGAGCTGTGTCATCATTTATGTCTGGAGTGTGCTGCAAGTGTTGAGATGATGATGGTGTTTTAGGCCACTCCTCTGTGTCCCAGTGCAATAGGGCCCAGATTGCCACTTCGTGGAACTGTAGCAATGTTAGCTTTTTTCGATCAGTTGTGTTGTATTTGTACAAAACATAGGCATTATGCAATGCCATTTGCAGGAAATAAAAGGTAATCTTTTTGGTCCACTTGTGAGTTTTCCTGGTAAAATGGTAATATTTAACCATTTGATCTCGATGACCTGGAGGCTTCCTTGGGCGTAGAAGTGCTTGGGCCTTGACCTTGATCCATTTTTGATGAAGTAATTGGGTATAATCCACACGGAAACGGGTAAAAATGCTCGAGTTTGGCGCGCGAGGGGAGCGTGATCGACTCACGACACGTGACACGAAAACAATGGGCCCGTCACGTGACCGGGTAGGCCGACGCGCCAGGCGGCCTAGTGGTGAGAAAGAGAACTTCATGGCGCGTCGTTTGAAACAAACCCCAATGAAATCGGATTAAAATTGAATTTTATACAAATATTTTAAAAGAAGACATAACTTTATGTCCACTATGCGTTTACGTTAGACGAAACCGGACGCGCCGGCGCGTCCAGATAGCGCGAAAGTGTTTAATATGACAAAATATGAGTAGGTATAAATGTTCCACTGTACTTGGTAAGAAAAAATGTTTTTCACCTCTTAGAATGAATTTGTTTACAATGTGGATAGTTTATATTGGGCATAGCCGTTATATATTATGAAGGTGAAACCGAGTTAATATTTGTTGAAGGGATACAGCATGTAGGTACATAGGCCTACTCAAAGATGAGGTTGCTAGTGACAAGTCAAGAGCACCTACTTAACCATTGTTTTTTAATAGATGCAAGGATATAAGTACTATGCAATTACTAAATGTGTAAATATCTTTTAGTCTACTGTATTGCATGCACAGTACTTCTAACAAAAAAATTTGGCAATATGAATTTTTTTTTAATTTTTTCATGGTGGTCCTATAATACAGTACTAGGCCATGTATATGAGAAATTCACAAGTGTAGTAAAGTACTAGTACAGGTATGTAGAACAAACATTTGCTTAAGTGAAGGGCAATTAAATATAATGCAATGAGCTGCTTATCATAAAATATATTGTAATTGAAGGTAGGACAAATGAGTTGCATTCCATATGTAAATTTTGAGCAAGTAATTCGTAGTACTTTGCAATGTGAAGACTTGTGCAGGTGGAGAAAATACGTTCTAGATGACACAAGTGGATAAATCCTGTTCAGTAGCTTGGAGTGTACTTCCGCAACCCATCCTCAAAGTCCATTTTATCCAGCGTTCGACCCCAAAGACGCATTCATCAATATTAACATGGTATTCATTCAAAATAGGAATTTTCTCAATTATAAATTGTTATATATATTAGCATATTGTGCATATTTAGACATTGGTTAGGTGTTTAGGTTCT